CACAATCGTGATCCAACGACGGAGAGTATGGAGGGGGTTTAGATGTGCTAGCGGGCTGTTTTGGAGGGGTGTTGGGCTTCAACAAGAGAGGGGCTTTTGCGGTTACCCGGTTAACTGTTGGGGCATCAAACGACCTCCAAATGAAACGCAATTTGACAGGCGGCCTACCGATGATGTACCAAGGCCTCTCAAAAGATCTCGACCCATTCTGAGTACGTTTTTCTCCCACTCACGAAACGAGATTTGAAGGGTGGAACGGGTGCATGTGGGAGTGTCGGATTGCGAAACGGACAACGGGGAAAATGACTGGATGCATGAGACGAACACGAATACAAATGAGATGCACATGATGACATGGGATGAAATGCATGACATGAACAAAATGCAAAATTAAAGACAAAAACCCAACCACGAAGGATATATCATATCACATAGCTGGAAATGGCAAGAGTTGGAGTTATAATTATGGAAAGTTACATCCGGGCGTTACACTAACCAGAAGATATAAATGGCAAAGTGCCTCTGTGCATTTGGTTTTCAGTCATTCTTGGGGCATCCACAGTGTGAGTATTTTCTGCCTCCAAGTCTATAAGGGTTGCCTCTATACATATCATCCTCAGCTTCTAAGCAAAAGAAGCTTTATATCTAGAACCATCTGACAACTTTATGGAGCAAGGTTGCAGCAGAGTACTATACCCTATCGATGCACTTTGTTCCTCTCTCCCACCTACTTTTCTTACCCCCACACACTAGTATATGAATTTTATTTTCAATCTTAAACTTCAAACAACTATATATTTTAAAATATAGGATAAATAATCCATATAAAGGTGTGTCTTACTTTCAACGATATCTTTGAAACAAGTTCACTATTTAATACTCCCTCCGTTCAAAAATAACTGGAGTGGTTTTAACTAAAACATGTCAGTTATTTCTGAGTAGAGGTAATATGTTTTAATAGTCTTGAATTTTGAATTTTTGAAATATAGTGAAAGATATGCGAAATGGATTATTACATGATGGTTTTTGCATGGACATATAACTACGTTGTGTTCTTGGACACATTAGTAAGTTTAATAACGATGGAAAGTAACTTATGCAAATTGGTTTAAAACAAGTCCAACAATCATAATTTTTATTATTTCATCAATGTTTCAAATTTACGTTTCGAAATGATGAAATATATTCATGGTTAGTCTTGTTGAAAAGATCTCCTCGCTAGGAATGCAAATATATAAGTCATTGTCGGTGTTCTGGGAACGGGGTCCTCAGACTTGCCTGCCTGCGGCCCACGGCGTGGCTTTGCTGGCAGTCCTGTACGGCCCATCTTCGTCAACAAGGAATCAAGACCCTCGCGAGGGGCCAAGCCTCGCGAGGTGGATGACACAAGACCTCCTCAGGAGTGGCCTCACCAGGCTGGCTCGTGAGGGGCGGAGAGTTCAAGGCCGGGCAAACCTTGTGAGGTTCTCGTGACGTAAGCCATGACGATCGAGACCAGGCGGTCGCCAGCGCGCAGTGTCCTTGTTTCCTCTTTGGTGCTAAGGGGGCAAGCGCAGGCGCGGAGTACCGAGGCATCCAGCAAAGGTTTCCATATTGGTGCAATGAGACAAAGACCAGAAGGACGGCAAGATGGAGGTCACCGTGGAGCTCAGGACGGCGTCACCACCAGAACCTTTGGCAGGCGAAGACCAGCTTTTGTCAGGATAACTTGTACTAGTTGTCCCCTTTTAAATTGGCCGTTGTTGGCTCCCTTCCCGCTCAATATTTGGGAAGAGGATCAGGGCCCCTATAAATAGGACTAGCCACCACCATAGGGGAGACGAATTAAGACCATCCTCAACCACACACTCACCAAGCACAAGGACACCTCAACCTCAGAAGGTTGTTCTTCTCTTTGTACTGTTCGTCTTCAGCCCAAGAGGCAATCCACCACCACCACACTGGAGTAGGGTATTACACCTCAACGGTGGCCCGAAGCAGTATAAATATTGTGTCCTTTGTGTTGCGAGTTTGTCGAATTGGTTCGTGAGATCTTAGCTAAGTTAGGACGCCCCCGTGTTCGAACCTTAAAGATTTTGCCGGAACCCGTGATCCGACAGTCATAAATCAAAATTTTCTTTAAAACTATTACAGTTTCAAATTTGAGGCTGAACATAAAATGCATGGGCGAATTAAGGAGGAAGGGGGAGAATCTAGGTAGGGGGTATGGTGGAGCATGTGTGTTGGTTGTCATAATAAAGTTAGTGGTGATGCCATGCACGGGATCGCGAAAAAAGTCGGTCTCCACATACACCGCCTCGCCGATTCATGAGGTGGTTTGGAAGGCGTGGGCACTAGCCAAGCTCAAGTTGTTCGCGTGGCTACTCTCCATCAACAGGTTGCTCACCTCCGACCGGCTCATGGCGAGGCAGTGGCAGAACTGTTATTTTTGCCCTCGTGTAGGCGAAACCTCGAAACCAATGTCCATCTCTTCCAGGAGTGTCCTTGGGCTCGTGAGTTGTGGAAGAGTGTTGTGTCAAGATTCAACCTGCTATCACTCGATCCCACCAACTAGAAAGACACGGGCGGCACCGCCGATTGGCTAGCAAACCTTGTTGCGACTTCGCCACACCAGAACCATGCCCGATCCATGGCAATCCTGGTCGCATGGTCAATCTGGAACGAGCAAAGTGGTAGAATCTTCAGGGGCATTGAAGGCAATGCTTGGGGTCATTTGCGACGAGGTCATGGCCTCGCAGATGGCTGGTGGAAAACACTTGATGCCGCGAGAGTAGACCGGCGCCTAGTCTCCGCTTTCTAGTTTTCCCCTTTTCCTTTCATTTCTTCTTCCTTTTGGCGAGCTCGCTCGTCTTTGTACAGTGGGCACTCTTCCGCCATTTACCTCTTATAATGCAAACACAATTCTCTTGCACTTCCTCAAAAATATACAACACCACAAATTCCATTACTTAGCATGCATAATCAAGTTAGTATCTCCTTCCTTATTTTTGGTTAGGATTATGATTTCGTTCTTTGTGTATATACATATTTACTACTACTATTTTTTTACTCTCTTATACTAAGAGAACGGGATCTGGTCTGATCCTTCCTATATGTAATTGTGTTTGTCATGACTGACAAAGATACCCTACAACATTGCATTGCATTTTTTTGTAAGACATATTTGAACTAGCTTAGTTCCTCCAATAATTATTAGGAGTACTGTATTGTTTTTCTCATCGATTCTTCTTGTTACTGTTTTGTGGTAGAGATGAATAAATATCCCGTTGTACTACTCCATCCATGCATCATTGTGTCTTACTTACATTGCTGCGATCGAAGAGTTTTGTCCCCGGCATATTGTGAAATGGAATGTTTGCAACATTCATATTGATAGAAAATGCAGGGCATTTCATTTGGCCTAGAAATAGGCCAACAAAAAGTTAGGGATTCTTTTTACTCAAAAATCTCTATACTAGTTTAAAAAACGTAAGAATCTATCATACGTGAAAACTACAACATTGGGCGTTCTACTATATTGTAAAGATAGTAATTTTCGGTTACCATTGCAAAGCACGGATACTCGTTAGTCTCTACTACTTAAAAAGAACATAAAGTTACATGTTTCACTTTTCCTCTTACCATCCATTCGTCTAACCTTTCTCGTATGATAATCAATCATCTTAATTTACTAAGTGCATCATTTCTACACCCAGGCTCGGCTACACCTGATGATGAATAGTAAAATTAAAAAAATAGCACAAATATTCCAAACAAAAACTGAAATCTTTATACATGAAAATTGAGAGAATCTTCTAGGTGCGTGCGGAATTTCAAGCTGTTTGGACATTTGAGAAGCTCGTGGCAAAAATAACAAATTTGGCTTGTCAAAGAAACTTTTAAAAAGTGCACTGTGTAGACCGATCTTTTTTACCACGAGCTCGTGAAATGTCCAAACACCTTGAAATTTTGCACGCACCTAGAAAATTCTCTCATCTTTCATGTGTAAAAAGTTCATATTTTTTGAATCTGTTTGCTATTTTCTGAATTTACTGTTCACCGGAAGCAGATGAGCCTGGGCACCGTTTTGAATTATCGTAATTTATTTACCTTCTGAGCCAATTTCATTTTAATTTACTTCTCAAACTTCTCATCAGAATATTTTAGTAAACATTAATTTACAGAATTGCATTAATACGGACAGGTAAATCACAAGGTGATATACTTGAATGGGAATACCTAGAACTCATCTAAATGAGATATAATTTGGTCTCATTCACTTGGAAATCAAAAACAAAAACAACCCATGTCAGCACACACGCATCTTATAACATCACATCCAATGACTATAAAAGGTGAATGAGACCAAATTATATCTCATCTAGATGAGTTCTGGCAAAACTGTACTTGAATATTTATATCCAGCTGCAATCGCACGGCGAAAAAAAAGGAAAAAGAAAAGCAGGACACTAAAGAAGAGACAGCCTTTCTTCACAGGGATATTTTTGTTGTCCAACTGACAAACTCGTCCGGCCACGCATTTATTGAATTCAGTGTCTCCTGAGACGGTGACACGAAATTCAATGGTACCGACTATATGAAAAATCAAGGAGTACGTTTGTGCTTGCGTATGCTGCGCTCCGAGATCAATCACCACAGGGCTTGGCATTTCCAAAAGAGATCAGCACAAGAAACAGCTGGGATATTTGGCTCATTCCGCATAAGAACTTTCTAGTGCATGCATGGGTAGTGAATAGGCTGAACTGACGTACATGCATCTTCTTCTCCTCACTTCCATGTTTTGCTGCGTGTTTGCGTTGTCTGCTGGAAGAGAACAACTTACGCCGTGAGTCGTGATCCAAACCATGTGCGCTCCAACGGGAGCTACCGAGCCCGTCAAGATACGGCCATGCACTACCCCACTGGTGGGCTCGCATCCCTAGACGGGTAGCCTTCTTCTACATTCTTCTGTAGCACCTATAAATTCGACGAGCCGCTACACCCGTAGCAGCTACGTTCCCATGGAAAGCCCCAGCAACGACAAACCTATTCCTGGCCTGCACGAGCTGCCACCGGCAGTCATGGACAGAGGCAAGGCCAAGGCGGACCCTGCCAACCCCCACGCCGTGGCTGTTGCCACCGAGCCGGACCTACAGGACGACAGCGAGTCCGAGTCAGGTTCAGAGTCTATCGAGATCGCGGACCTCAAGAAGCGCATGTGGAAGGACCAGTTGCTTCTCATGAAGCTCGAGGGCACCCCGGGGCACGAACGAAGAGCAACCGGGCAGAGGCCGGACACGGACCTGGCCCAAGCAGAGAAGGAGGCAGAGATGCCGGAGTCACGGTACCGCCGCAAGGCGATGCTCCGGGCGCAGGACGGCGTCCTCCGGCACATGCTCAGGATGATGGAGGCGTGCAACGCGCGGGGGTTCGTGTACGGCATCGTGGACGAGACCGGCATGCCCGTGTCCGGCTCCTCCGACAGCCTCCGCGGCTGGTGGAAGGAGGACGTTGGGTTCGAGCGGACCGGGCCGACGGCCCTGGCCGGCCCGTCGACGGCCCTCGAGAGCCCGGGATCATCGTTCCTCCACGGGCTCCTCGACATCCAGGACAGCACGCTGGGGTCCCTGCTCTCAGCGCTGATCCAGCACTGCGAGCCCCCGCAGCGGAGCTTCCCGCTGGACAGGGGACTGCCGCCGCCGTGGTGGCCGACGGGCCAGGAGTTCTGGTGGGGCCTGCAGGGCGAGACCCAGGCACATCAGGGCCCGCCGCCATACCGGAAGCCTCACGACCTGAAGAAGGCGTGGAAGATCTCACTGCTGAGCGCGGTGATCAAGCACCTGAGCTCGCGTTTCGACCAGATGCGCAAGCTCGTGTGGCAATCCAAGCGGCTGCAGCATAGGATGAGCGCCAAGGACGCCGAGACCTGGTCCAGGGTCATCACCCAGGAGGAGGCGCTCGACCGCCAGGTGCAGCGCGCCCTGCGGATCACGCCGCTCGAGGAGGAAGACGACGACAAGGAGCCGCAGGAAGCGGAACACGGCCTGCACGTCGACAAGCGCAAGCGAGGGGTCGGCAACGAGAGTGCGGGAGGTAATGACGACAGTGGTAGTGGCCGGGAGCTGGTTGCGCTGCCGGTCATTGACGGCGTCGCGGAGGCGGACCGCAACTCCATCGACGAGCTCATGAAGATGTACTACAGCTGTCTGCAGGGAACAGACGGTGGTGAGCAGGAGATCAAGGACGTGGCGGCTGGAGGCGGGGAGCAGAGCAATACCTCTTCTGCTGAGACCGGCGTATTGGACGCGGCGACGGTGCGCGATGACATGTTCGACGATTTCTTGAGCGTTGCCGATGTGGTCGACATGAGTGACTGCCCGGGCAGTCCGATATGGCACTGGGGGAGTTCGGATTTGGATTAGTGGGTTAATAGTTACTGTATTTCTTACATCAAGACGATGTGGATTATGGAGTGTGTATATATGTAAGGGTTGGGTTTTCTGTTAACTATTTGCGCCTTTTTGATTAGGACGTGGCTAGGGAGCGCTCAGGCGCCTACTGGTATGATCCAGCGCTCTTACCATATATAGAAAATGCAATCGGTCTCTCCGCACGCGCTTCCAAAAAAGGAAGCACCCTGGTTCTTTGTCACCATCTCCTCCCACGTGATCCTGTTAAATAAGCCTAGATCTTGTCGTCACGTGTATTTGTTGGGGTTCAAAAAAATTTAAAAGTCATAACTTTTGATTCAAGCGTCGAAATTCAGTTCCATTTTCACCGTTGAGTTTCTCACGACGAGTTCTTCAAAACTATATCCCATATGAATAGATTTCGTCAAACTTTTTTTTAGGCAACTTTGGGTACGATGGAGGCAACTATAATGCTATACGAAGCAACTTCTTTTTTTATCCTAGTAGACTATGTATTAGGTTGGTTTGCATAAAAATGAGAAAAAACACAAAACATCAGACCCCTTTGGTGCTATATACAAAACAACTTAGCTGGACTATGTGTATCCGTGAATTTTGCTAACATTACCCCAACTTGTCTATCACGGCTACTCAGTTGTCTATTGTTTGATGGTTAGTTGCCTACAATTGATGTTCGGTTGCCTATAAATACTATAAATTACCTAACATTGATGCCTAGTTACCTGATATTGGTAATTAGTTGCTTATCATTGCTGCCCAGTTGCCTAACTTTGTAGAAATAGTTGCCTACAATATTGTGAAGTGGTTTATCATTATTTTTCTAAGTTGCCTACAAATACTTTGAAGTTGCCTCGATTCACCACCAAGTTTCCTACCATAACTAGCAATAGCACACAAAAAGAGTATCGATGGTAGATGACATTGTAATATTATAGGCAATGTAGAAACAGCGACTTGCGAACATGAACAATAGAAAACTTAGAAGTACCAGTGGGGAAGTTAGGAGAATGTCATACAAAATTAACTAGGACACAAAATGTAGAGAAGTTGCCTATTTTTAGCACTAAAGTTGTCTCTAGTAGAAAGAAAGTTGCTTATGAAGGTGATGTGATGTTATTTACGTCTGTTTTGAAGTTGTTCTCTATTACTATTTTCTTGCTTATTGTTGGTAATTAGTTACATTTACTGAAGTGAAGTTGTTTCTGTTTAGCACTAAAGTTGCCTCATCTGGCATTAAAGTTGCTTTTTTTAAACATTAGTACATATCCATGTGGGGTTTAGTTTTGAAATAGCTCATCGCGACCTGGGTAGCCAATACTCACGCGTTCAGTAGTGTTGTCGGACAGACTCCCCCCTAGAAAGCACACGGATCTTATACCATCCATCCCCACATAGTTTCGAAATTTGAAGTCATGATAGATGACTTAGATCCCATAAAAAACCTTTTAACATCGTAGGCAACTTAGGTCCCTTATGGACAACTTCCATTGTATTGTAGGAAATTGAGGATCACTCATAGCCAACTTCGTAGCGACGTAGGCAACTTGGTTTTTGAAGCCATGTTGGAGAAGTTTCCACTATATGGTAAGCAACTTCCACAGTATGGTAGGCAACTAAACAATCTACAACTTAGTTTCGGAACCATGGTAACCACCTATTACACTAGTGCACACAGCTAATTAGGAGGTTACTAGGCGAATTCACTTGTACACACGGTGCAATTCCTGTAGCATCAAAGTTGCTGATTTTTAACACTAAAGTTGCCTCATATAGCATCCAAGTTGCTTTTGAAAAAGTTCAGCAGAACATATTTGTTGGAGATATTACTACTGGGCGTAAACCGGCCTATCTGGGCCGGGTTAACTTCATCAGTAGTTAAGTATGTTAAAGCCCATGAAGGTAGATGAGGGCTCAAGACCCATAATCGGTTGAGAGCCTGTAGCCGTAAACCGGCGTCAATATGTAACTTGTATTGTAAGTTAGGAATAAGTAGAGACTAAACCGGACACATCTATGAGCCGGTGTTGGGACTCTGTAAACCGACGGGCGCCACCCATGTATATAAGGGGATGACCCGGTGGCGGTTCAAGGGCAACAGACAACAACTCGAGACATAGGCGAAGCTTGTTTGCTCCCTAGTCATTGAAACACCCATCAATTCCATCACAACTAGACGTAGGCTTTTACCTTCATTGAAGGGGCCGAACTAGTATAAACTCTCTTGCGTCCTTGTGTCCGCTTTAACCCCTTCAAGCTAACCCGTCGCTATGGCTCCACGACTAAGTCCTTTCTCTAGGACATCTGCCGTGACAAAACCACGACAGTTGGCGCCCACCGTGGGGCGATCGCACGATGGTTTCCGGTTCTTGGAGGGCCGCTTTGAAGGACTCGGGGGCTACGTGTAGGCCGGATGACTAAGAGTCGTCGCGGCAAGCTCTACATCGACGACGCAGGCTGGAGCCTCAAGGCCGGCTCAATTGAGTACGGGTACTGGGTCCCCTTTGGTAGCATTCACGTTTTCATTGGCAAGATTGGTGAACCGGGCCCTGAGCCGGACATCTGCACCGACCTCGTCGAGACGGCTCAGCGTGCGCGATCCGCCCGGGTTAAACCGGCCATGAAGCATGCATTCGTGGGAGTGATCCATGGAGGAAGTTATGAGGACGGATCGGAGCTTCGCGGGGCGACTGCCGTTTGTTCCGGTGACGAATCTTCGACCGGAGAAACCGAATCTCTTATCAGCTACAAGATGGCCGGATTGAGAGCTGTTCCAATGGCGACTGTATTCCGGACCCCTCTGATCTGCCTAACCAGGTTGGAATATTCATGACCGGAACACAAGCAGCGCTTCATTCTTCGACAGCCACGGCAACGATCTCCGGTTCAGCAGCGGCGACGGCTGCCGGGGCAGGAGGCCCTGTGCGCCCGCCGGCTCAGGTTCTATCAGAACTATTTGATGCGTTGGCTGTGCTTATGGCGGAAGTTAATCCGCCAGATCAGGATGTTCACAACACGGAGATTGTAAAGGTAAAGGAACAAATCACCCAGGCCAAGACGGATCTGGCGGCTGAGGACACCAGGATGGCTGCAGAGCGGGCCGCTTTAGACGCTTAGGCCTACAGGCTTATGTTGGACCAGAGCGCGTCGCATGAAGTCATGAGGAGGAAGCACCGATCCCGCTTACCTCCGGTTTTCGAGGACAGAGATCTTTTCAACACTCCAGGACCAAGAGCCGGCAATCCGCTGGAGGGGAACCGGGCAGAAGCCCCTGGGACCGGTGCACCGGTTCAGCCCCGTCAGATGGACCCGCCTCGTCAAAACACCGTTATACCTCAGGATGCTTTAACGCCTCTGAGTCATTACTCCAACCCAATGGACAATCTTGTTGCCGCTGCTGCACGGCTGGAGGCCATTCCAATTGAAGGTGACTCGCCACAAGCAGTAGAGACGCGACGGGTCAAGAAACTTCTGAGGACAACTTTGGCCCAACAGGAAGCGTACTCGTACAGCCGCGACCGGATCCACTCGACCCCTCGTCCAAGCCGGAGCTATAGCAGACATATGGATGAACCAGCAGTGTCGAGTAATGAACGACATGGAGCACCCCGTGGCAACAACCCGACGGGTGGTGCTGATGACGCTCAGGAAGTGGTGAACCGGGCCCGAGCCCGCAGGGAGGCCGAGTTAGCCGCACAGCATCAGGCTCGGCAGCTCACGCCGGTTCGTCCAACCATATCGATCGAACCTGGTGTTACTTCTAGTTCTTTGGGGGTGCCATGCCTTATCCCCGCTTTACGCAACGTGCGCCTGCCTAAGGATTTCAAAGGCCCGCGCAAGGTACCACATTACACGGCGGATCAACCTCCAGAGACATGGGTGGAGAGCTATGAGATGGCCATGGAGATGCTTGATGTGGATGACACAGCGTGTGCAAAATACTTCACCATGATGCTTGAAGGAACGGCCCGTACTTGGTTAAAAAGCTTGCCAGCTAATTCTATCAGTTCATGGGCCCAATTACGAGCCCGGTTTATCAGCAATTTCAAGGATACCTGTAAACAGCCTATGTCGATAGTGGACTTAGCTGCATGCGTCCAGGAGGAAGGAGAATCAATGACTCATTGGGTGCGCCGGGTTTCACAAGTGTTGCACTCCTCAGACCGCATCAACGCTGACACCGCAGTATTAACCCTAGAAGGCAACTGCCGGTTTGGGCCCCTGAAGTTGAAATTAGGACGGATGAAGCGTCATTGCACCGACATGGGGACCCTCATGGCCGCTTTGGTAAAATATGCTGATTTTGATAGTACCAAGGATCCCGAATCTGATGATGACAAGACAGGGAAGGGGAAGAAGAACAGCAGCTCCAAAGGTCAGCAGCATCACTGGGTAGGCAATGGCGGAGGAGGCAAGCATAAAGCGGATGGTAACATGGATTTTGTGGCTAATACCAACGCACAGGACAATGGCCAGCGACGCAAGGGTAGGCCGAAAAATCAGAGTGGAGCACCCAACCCTAACCCAAACCGCCTGAACTATCTGCTAAGCCAGCCCTGTCCAAGACATGGGACGAAGGAGGAGCCAGCAAACCACCTTTGGAAGGATTGCTTTATTATGCAGGAGTTCAAGAATTCTAATAATTTCCGGTATGATCACGGATCTGGCGGTGCATCAGGATCTGGGCCGGGTTATGGTGGAGGAAGTTCCGGTTCAGGATTTAATGGTAATCCGGGCGGACATAATGGTCAAAATAGTCAGAACAACCAGGGTGGTTACAACCAACAGCAGCAACAGTCAGGTTACCAGAGCAACCCAAAGCAGTTGAGTAGTGGGCAGTACCATGTCTTCACCACTAGCTTGGACAAGCGAGACCATAAGGTTCAGAGGCGGGCAGTCAACTCTGTTGAACCGGCCATACCCCATTATCTACGTTGGTCTGAACAGCCAATCATATGGAGCAAAGAGGATCACCCACCCCAGGTTGATAATCC